CGCGCTAGCCTAAGGGCCACCTTAGCAAAGCGCATCCCAGGCTGCATAGCCGCACTACCCTACCCAACCATACCACACATAAACATGACACTACCCCCGGGGTTTACACAGACGAGCCGGCGAAGCAAGAAGAGCGCCAGAAGAAAGGGCCCTAGCCGGCGGGGCCCAGCCAGGACAAAAGGAGGTCCCACAAAGCGCCTACACCGGCCGCATTTGCGGTCGGGGTAGACGACGGATGGGGCCCACCTACGAAGGCTGTCCAGGCCTACACGAGATGAGGCAGGATAAAGAGGGATAATCCCCCTCGATCACAAATCATTGAGGCCAATTTCTAGCCATGGAATAATGGCGCGCACGAATCCTACCATGTTCCATCATATTTTTCAAAGCTATACTAACTGTCGCAGACAGTCCAATTTATTTCATAAAATTTAAAATTTATATGGGATAATGATCCTGTTATTACATGTACTTATACTTAATTTATCTAATTTAGTATTTACACCAATACAAAAAATTGACAACAGATTATCAACCGTTCAGTTTCGTCATCGACCAACCATTTTGAAAGTTTGTAAATAATTTAAATCACTATTTTTTAACTGGTAGAAAAATAATTACTAATACTCTTTTGCTTTGTTTGTATGAGAAAATCCTATTGAGAACCCAATATTATTTGTGTGATGTCCATTTTTAATAAGTTATATTTACTACAAAAAATCTATTGAAAATGATAGGGTAACGTGTGTATAATATTCTTATATTAATCATCATTATTAATATTAACATACGATATATTAACCTAAATATTTCCTTGCAAAAAGATTTCACTTTGTAAAAAAACTAGATTGAAAATATTTGTAAATTATCCTACAACACATGCATCTTCGGTAATTGTTGAAACATGATTTTTAATATTAATACGAATGACATCATAAAATCAAACNTTTCTTACGTACCAGGGCGCGTCGGTGGCCGTGCGGAGGGCTATGTTTTCCACAGCCTGTAATGACTTTAAGTGGCTTTTTGCCGCGTGACCCCACGCCGTGGAGGCGTAGGTTAGCTGCGGTTGAAGTACCAAACTCCCGACAAGAGGTACATAGTACGCGAAGCACAAAGGCTCCATCTATCCTCTGTAAATCATGTTTACATGAACTTTTTTTTTAAAGGACTTTTAGTACAAGTTGTGAAAGTCCTGCTACAAAAAACGCGGACGCCTGTATATATTACGATTTTAACCTCACATAAAATTCACGAATCAAACGTCACATCACAAAACAAACGTAAGACCATAGAAAATTTGGATAATTCGTAAAGGTTTCTATGGCAACGACACAAACACACCGTTTAGAGATGGGCTAAACTGCGCTTTTTGCGGAGCTGTGACATCTGACTGCTCCGGCAACTGAGCAGTGACAAATAGCTGCGATTTTTGGGAACAACTCCGAGTAGCGCGCGCATTAAATCCTACCACATTCCATCATATTTTTCAAACCTGTACTAACTGTCGCAGACAGTCTAGTTTATTTCATAAAATTTAAAATTTATATGGGGTAATGATCTGTTATTACATGTACTTTTGTAAGTTTGTGAATAATTTAAATTACTATTTATTAACTGGTAGAAAAATAATTACTAATACTCTTTTGCTTTCTTTGTATGAGGAAATCCTATTGAGAACCCAATATTTGTGTAATGTCCATTTTTAATAAGTTATATTTACTACAAAAAAATCTATTGAAAATGACAGGGTAACATGTGTATAATATTTTTATATTAATCATCATTATTATTAACATACGATGTATTAACCTAAATACTTCCTTGCAAAAAGTTTTCACTTTGTAAAAAAACTAGATTGAAAATATTTGTAAATTATCCTACAACACATGCATCTTCGGTAATTGTTGAAACATGATTTTTAATATTAATACGAATGACATCATAAAATCAAACACGATCTCAGATATAAACTTATTAGTGCGGATCTATCCCTAGGGAAATCTGATGGAAAGTAGACATGTAGTCATAATTTAAAACATTGTTAAATATAAAATAAAACAACATATATCAATAAAAATCCTCGACTGAAAGGACAATTTGTCTAAAAAAATGTATATTTTTTTCGATCTGAAAAAAAAGAACCAGATGACCATATTTCTTGAAAAAATATTCCGAACATCACATTTATTTCATAAAGACTAGATCTAGCAGGTTATGCCCAATTTTTAAACAGTAGGTTAAAGCAATTGTTCTAGAAAGCACAAAATACCCTTTATTGAGCCCTTATATTATCAAACCATTAAAATTTTTTGTTTGACATCCGCCATTTAATCGTTTGCACAAAATAAGCCTTCTACACTTCGTATTAATGTTGCGGTATCTACACATCCTCAAATATTATAACGACACTGAAAAGAACATTTTTAGCTTGTTTAGCCTCAAAGATTTAGTAGCATTTATTTACCGTAGTCTGTACAATTGCACCAATCACGATTGTGGATCCGAGGTTATGTAAGGCCTTCCATCTTCACTGATAGATTATAAGACAGAGCCTACACTGTCTTGCCACTTACATTCCCAAAGTATTTTTATGTATTGAATAATGCCTAGTTAGATTGCCCTTATGCCTTGTCTGGTAAATGCATTTATTGCACTTGTACATCTGCACACTCGAGGGATCTCGGTGTTTTAACATGTGCACTATTAAATTCTGCTTATGAACAGTATCAAAAACACATTCATTACATTTGAACACTTGGGTATTTGAACGTTTCTTAACACTGTCGTAGTTTGTATCGCATTCCCTCTTTCGTGCCGTGGGAGGGTTCTCGTGTGTCAATTGATGAATTTTCAAATAAGTTTTATATTTAGTTTCGTAATTACATGTATCACACTTGTACATTTGGATTTCTGAAGGATTTTCGTGCATCAACTGATGCCTGCTTAGAGTACACTTGTATTTAGTTTCGTAAGTACAAGTATCACACTTGTAGATTTTGATTTCCGAGATATTTTTGTGCATTAACTCATGCCTTTTCAGGAGACTCCTGTGCTTAGTTTCATAAGTACAAGTGTGGCATTCGTACATTTGGATTTCTGATGAATCTTTGTGTATTAATTGGTGCGTTTTTAATCTGTTTCTACAATTAATTTCATAATCACACCTATCACACTTGTATAGTTGGGTTTCCGAAGGGTCTTTGTGTGATAATTGATGTAGTTTAAGACGACTCTTGCTTTTAGCTTCAAAACTACACGTATCACACTTGTACATTTGAATTTCTGAAGGGTTTCTGTGCAATAACTGATGCAGCTTTAGATACCTCTTATATTTAGTCTCGTGATCACACTTATCACACTTGTACATGTGGATTTCAGAAGGGACTTTGTGCTTTAACTGGTGTACTTTTATGTTACCCTTATGTTTAGTCTCATAATTACATGTATCACACTTGTACATCTGGATTTCTGAGATGTCTTTGTGCAGTAGCTGATGTCCTTTCAGATGACCCTTACGTTTAGTTTCATAACTGCATATATCACACTTGTACATTTGGATTTCTGAGAGATCTTTGTGGGTTAACTGATGCGTTTTCAGATCACCCTTACGCTTAGTTTCATAGTTACACGTATCGCACTTGTAGGCTCTCACATCTGAGGGAACATTGTACATTATTGACTGATGTTTATTCGGATCTTTCCCGTAGCTGTTTTTGTGTGTTGTTAACTGATGTATCTTCAGGTTCCCTTTCAACTCAGTTTCATATTTATATTCATCACATCGATACAAACCCTTATCTAATGAAGACCCACAATTCTGGTAACTATTTTTACTTTTGGATATTTGGACATTGTGAACTGACATCAATGTCGTAATGTTTTTGTTCAATTCTGCTTCATATATTGGTATGTATTCATTGTTTATTTCTTCCATACTTTTTGTAGCACACTTCTTTTTGTTTTCAATTGTCCCGTTAGCTAAATCATTCAAAGATGAATCACTGAAAAAATTAAAACTACATGGTAAAATAAATACAAATGAAAGTATAAATTCTAATGGTTTTTTCAAAATGTAAGTTCCCTACACCACTATATACTTTGCTATAAAAAATTAAAAAACTAAATAGCTCAATAAATTTTAAATCTACATAGTTTTATTGACATCTTCTTACCCATCCTGATCATCTGCCTCTATCTTTATTTCAATCTCCTCAGATTTAATATAAGGCTGCTGATCAATATTTTCATAAATCTCCCGGACATGTTGACCATTTTCTTCCAGTTTTATTTCAATCTCCTCAGGACTAATATAAGACTGCCTATCAATGTTTTTATATTGCTCCAGCACATCCTGAGCATCTTCTAGTTTTAATTCAATGCCTTCGGGTTTAATATTATGCTGTTCTTCAACACTTTTATACTTCTTTTGCGAAACCTGAGGATCTTCCAGTTTTACCTCGATCTCTTTAGAGCTTTTATCATTTTCCTGTCCATCAAGGCCATGCTTTAAAAAATCACCATCTTTGGTAGTATCGATGTTCTACAATAAAAAAAAGTATTAGTGTTGTCCTTGCTTCAACACCAATGTTTCACGCATTATGTCACTTCTGAGATGACAGATATGCCACTTTTGATGAGTTAAATGTGTTAAAAGTTATGGCGTTTATTTCTGGATCACTCTGTACATGCAATTATTTAAAATTAAATTAATTAACACCGACTGCCACCGATCAGAGACTAACAATACCAAAACTTTGGTAAACTAGATGTTAATGAAAATATAAGTAGTTTTATAATATACTTACAACTTGTGATATGCTTGTGTTCATTATGTTAACGTCCACTTCATGTACCTTCAAATGACCCTTACGATTTGTTTTAATATCACATTGTCTTTCTGAAAGGTCTTTGTGCGATAACTGATGATATTTTAGACAATGCTTATATTCAGTTTTATAATCACACATGTACATTTTTCCTGAAGAACCCCCGTGTGACAACTGGTGTACTTTTAGGCGATCCTTATATTTAGTTTCATAATCACATGTATCACATTTGTACATTTGGATTTCCGAAGGGTCTTTGTGAGTTAACTGATGCACTTTTAGACAATTCTTATGCTTAGTTTCATAGCTACAAGTATCACACTTGAATGTTTGGATTTCTGAAAGGTCTTTGTGGGTCAACTCATGCCTTTTCAGATCACCCTTACGTTTAGTTTCATAATCACACGTATCACATTTGTACCTTTTTACATCCGAGAGGTCTTTATGCATTAATTGATGTCTAATCAGATTTTTCCTGTAGTTGCTTTCAAAATCGCAGGCGTCACACTTGTACGTTTCCACTTTTGTAGGGTCTTCGTGTTTTAACCGATGGGTTTTTAGAAGAAACTTATACTTTGTTTTGAACAGGCACTTATCGCATGAATATATTTGTATTTTTGAGGATTTGCTGTGTGTAATCTGATGCCTTTTTAGATTCTCTTTAAACTTAGTTTTGTATTTACACTTATCACACTGGTAAAATCGTGTATCTAACGAAAACACACAATTCTCAAATTTAGATTTTTTGTTTCTGGCTGTTTGAACGTTGTGATCCGACGTGGATGTCATAAGGTTTTCATTAAATTCTATCACACAATCATTCTTTGTTTCTCCTGTACCTTCTGAAGTGCTCCTCTCTTTACTGCAGAAAACAAAATACACAAATCAATATAAGCAACAGCAGTTGAATCATACATTTGAGAAAGCCCATAAGTCCATACATTGGAAATATGGGTTTTCTATGATTTCTACAGCCACTCATTTGGCAAGATAAGGTCATACCAATTTGCTTCTAGAAATACAATTTGTTATCCTGAAGGATCAGAAAAAATTATTGGTGTAAAAGTTTCATTAAACTTTTATTATTTCGTGTAAATTGTGTTTTAAAATAATTATTTTTGACATTTCAAAAAACATAAGCAATAAAAAAATAAAAATACTAATCCGATTGGCAAAATATTTTTTTTAAATTGTTTCAAATTTTTACAATTGTTACTATTTTTTCTGTAGACAGTGTATGTAGTTAATTTGTGAATCTCAGTGTTAATGACCTCTGACATTGACCTAGCAAACCAGCAAAATTAAACTGTGAACAGTTTAAATTTAAGCAGAATCCGACCGTCTTCTGAATACTTATGAATGGCAATGGAGATTAATTAAAATGCTGCATTACCACCTCAGGAAAGCCACTACTGCCAGTTGTCACAAAAGATGTTTGTGAAGAATTTTTGTGTAGTGTAAAGTACGTTATTTCAATATTTAGTAATGGTATCACGTATTTTTGTTTTAATTTTCAAGTTTCTGTGTTATATGAATAAGCAAGTTTATGAATCGAGAAACAGTTGATATGATTAGTTAGAGCCTTCTTATTGTCAGAAGAAATCGATGATGTTGCAAGAAGACAAGTAACAAATAAGAAAATATTCATTCAACGATTATGAGATTATGGAAGCTCTGAATGCCAATATACTAATGTTGGACGGCAACAAATTGAGGGAGTTTGAAACTTAAAATCAGAAATTTTACACCCTGCAGAAGAGGATTCTGGTACCAGTACTCGAAGAATAGCTACAAGATTTCAAGTATGTATGTTACATATGCTGTAAAAATCATATGAGTAAACGAATTATTTACTTATTTCTGTGTATTTAATTTGTCAGTTTTATTTATTACTGTTTGAGATTTCAGTTAGATAACTTGTTAGGTAAGTTTCATAGTATATACTGTCTCTTACTCCTGGAGAAAGTGTATGTATAATACTGTACTATAAAAAAAATGAAGCAGTGGTGAAATAAATTTAAAATTTACAAAAGTTCATTAACATTTCCTTACCCTTCCTGATCACATTCTTCTACTTTTATATAAATCTCTTCAAATTTAGTATAAGACTGCTCGTCAATGGTTTTATATTTCTCCTGTCCGACTTGATCATTTTCCAGTTTTAGATCAGTTTTCTCAGGTCTAGCATAAGGCTGCTTTTCGACACTTTTATAGTTTTCCTGTGCAACAAGACAGTTCTTTAGGAAACCGCCATGAGTATAAAGAGAATCAAAACATGGTCGACATATAAGAGGGTCATTAGTAGCATTGATGTTCTAGAATAAAAAAAATATTAGGAATGAAAACAAAGGTATCACAATGGGGTCCCAAATCGGGATACTATGTAGCCGTTATACCACTACGTCACAGAATATACCAATTTTAAAATAAAGTGTAAAATTCTAATATACACAACCATGTTGCTATGAAGTACTCTGAAATGTACTTACTACTTGTGGTATACATGTATCGATTATATCAACGTCCACTTCATTTAATGGCAAAGATTCATAAATAACCAACTGCATGCATAACCGACAAATTTTCTGATTTTCCGATACGGGGATTAACTCGACGCTTCCTTTGTTCATCAGATAAACTTCTTCTAGGTCAATCACTGACGTTTTAGTGGTTTTACCATAATGAAACAAAATATCCTCAGTAGCCATACACGCCGATTTAAATTTAAAAACCGCTAATAATTTTACGGAACATGCTTTACATATAAAGTGTTTGTCTCTCTCCCCCAAATTCTGAAATATATTCATAATTATTATTAAAATTTATTACTTCGTAGTAGTCTTAAAAGTAATCCTAAAATGCTCATCTTACCAGGGTTGGCAAAACAACTTTTAGGACCTCCCTTGTTTCTTCTATTACTTCGCAGTTTATATCATTTAAAATATTAACACATAGCCTACAGACTGTCTCTTTACAGCGTTGCGGGTGCATTTTTTTGTCTTTTCTAAATAGAAATACACAAATTCAAAACAATATTTACATAACCTCACAAATGTCAACACAGTCGTAGTTTGACATCCTCTTCTTCTACTTCATGACTTTCAACTGAATTATTTGTACTCACAAACATTTGCATTTAGGTTGGTTTATTATGGTTTTCTTATTACTCAACAAATACAAGTGGAAAAAATATGTAAAGCTCATCAAAACGCATATCGACACGTGACCGATGAATGAGCGATAACTCATCGATTTTGTCGGTTGAATCGTGACCGCCATTATTCTATGGCTAGAAATTGGCCTCAATGATTTGGGATCGAGGGGGATTATCCCTCTTTATCCTGCCTCATCTCGTGTAGGCCT